CTCCCTTCTTCAGGGGGAGGATGTTGCAACGCAAACATAACAAGAGTATGAATGCATATAAAATAAGCACAATTAGCCTAGCGGCCTTATCCAAATGTACAGACTTGCAAGTTGGCGTAGGTTCGAGTCCTCCACCTGACCATTAAATAATATACCAGAAAAGGGGTTACATCCTATGTTAACTCTTTTTTGGTTCTAATTCGGTTCAGCCTTGATAAAGGCTGACCGTCAAAAAAAAGCAATTTGTCTCAAGGACATAACTGACCGGTTTTTGTGGCTAGCTTGCGCAAATTTGTTTCGTTTGGATCTGATTATTGGTGAACTTATGAATTGTTTAACAACAAATTTTGGATGAAATTATCAGTATTGCCGATAAATTTTGTATTGTCGAAAATACGAATAAATTATTGATTTTTTTGGTTTTGTATTCATCCTACGGAGATTCAGCGCGCATAATTTGTTTGTCTATGTTCCGATTGTAAAGATTTTTCAGTTCAACGGAACTGTCCAAAAATTTTGAGTATTGAGAAAAACTACCGGGTGCTATTTAGCGGGAAATATTTCAACATGTATGACATCATATATAAAGTTATAACACGAAGGTAAAGTTGTAAGACTAGCCGAGTCTCAAAATTTTGTATTGTCGAAAAAAAAGCAATTTTGGTCAGTTGCAGCGAAATTTTTCAGCAACCACTTCTCTAGCTCACACAAAACGTCTGCAGTTGACGTCCGCGCACACAAAGCGTTTCAGTTGCACTCGACACCTGTATGAAGGCCTATGTTGTGTTGTGTCTGACTCGACACCCGTATGAAGGCCTCCGTTGTATTTGACTCGACACCTGTATGAAGGCCTCTGTCCTGTCTGCTACGCAATATCTGCAACTCTGCACTACAGTATCTGCAACTCAGCGATCTGCAACAGACCAATTCCGGCCAACTGCCTTCTCTTTTGGCCAACTGCTTTCGTACAACTCGGGAACAATTTTTGCGGGCTCCTCTGCGAACTGAACAACTCTGCCAACTGCACCCGTGTCGGGGCAATTGTCCGAGAAACAACTCTGCCAACTGCAAACTCTATTGGCCGACTGCTGACTGCCAACTGCAAATTCTTTTGACTGACTGCCAATTGGAACAACTGCAAATTCTATTTGCACTCGTTTCGGGGAAACTATCGTGTCCCTTGTGGGGGGACGAAATATGCGCGCTCAATCTCCGTAGGATGAATTTGAATCCGAAAAATCAATAATAAATTCGTATTCTCGGCAATACAAAACTCATCGGCATTACTGATAATTTCATCCAAAATTTGTTGTTAAGCAAGTTCATAAGTTCACCAAAAATCAGCTCCGAACGAATCAAATTGGCGCAAGCTAGCCAGAAAAACCTTTCAGTAATGTCCTTGAGACAAATTGTTTTTTTTTTGGCGGTCAGCCTTAATCATGGCTGAACCGATCTAGAACCAAAAATCAGTTAAAATAGGATGTAACCCCCTTTTTTAGTAGATTGATTCATGATCAGTTGGGGGACTCCAACCTACGCCTACTGGCAAGTTTGTATGTAGTACATTTGGATTAGGCCGCTAGGCCAACTGTGCTTATTTTATATGCATTTATACTCTTTTTTTATTTGCGTCGCAAAATCGCTAAAACTCTCATGAAAATTTTATCTACTTTTGTTTGAATGAAACTAAATTTACATAGCCTAAATTAAGCTATTGTAAGCGTTTAAACTATCAAAATGGAATTTTTTGCAAGCCTGCTTGCTCGCTTTTTCACTCGGATTAAGAGGAAAAATAAAAAAAATTTCAAACCGGTTTTTCTCGAGACTGGGAAAATGGTTTGAACTTTTTATTGCTGTTCCAATTGTGACTGAATGAATTTTATAATGATATCTCATTCATCTCTCCCTGATGGTTATTTGTTCTAGCAAATTTTGCGTGGAAACCAACTAAAAAAAGATAAAAAGGAAAAAACTAAAACACACCAAAAAAACCACCTTAAGTTCCTTCCCATTTTTTAAATTGTCGGAAGAAATACGAACTCTCCTATAAGGTGTTAAATATACCTATTTACGGTAAAAATAGTTGAGCTAAAATTATTTTCAATATTTGCCATATGTAACTTGAACTCAGTCATCCTAAAAAGAGCAGAAACTTTTTTTGCAATATGCAATTTGAACTCGGTTCATCCTAAAGTAAAAAGGAAAGTTTTTTTTCATCTTCATTTTCTGGTTGTGTTTTCACTAAACTCAGATACATGTTTGAAAGGAATATTGTCATGAGCAAACATGTTTTTTATTCTACACTTTTATCAAAAATCCGACTGAGAATCCGACTGTGTTTCATTGGAGCATAATTTTTTGAAACAAAATTGATAAAATTCAGGCCTTTGTTCAGATTAACGGGTTTTTGTTAATGCAATATTTGTGTACAGTATGTATAATTTCTGTAATTTAGAAGAACTCTTATTGGGAAAATGACAACTTTTAGTTCAAAATCTGCTAAACAACCAAAATGTAATTTTTGAAAGCAGGCTTTGACGGCCCATTTGAAGGCAGGCTTTAACAATGAGGTTACTGTTCAAAGAAACACACATAAGTTTTGTAAATGGTTTAGTACGAAGGCATTGATAAGCATTCACTTCATTCCCGCCAAGAACTCATCCTTCAATTAAATTTAAGCCTTAATTAATCTATTTATTTTTCGAGAATTGTTGTTAACATACCATCATGTATTACACCAAAGTTAACACAAAAGTATTTTTTTAACTATTAATGTCGTTAATTTATTGTAAGATTTGTCTTTCGTGATTTTGAAACATTCCAGAAAAGCATTCGCGCAGGAAAAAATCAAAAAATCTTAGTCTTAAACAGAAAAAAACCAAAAAAGTACCATCAGTTATTGATCTAAATTCATTAACCAGCTTTTCAAAAAATCGAGGGCCTAGAAAGGTTTTTTCAAGTCTAGCAAAGTATCATTAAAACCCATTTCATAAATTTTTGAAAAAATTGATGATCAATAGACTCATACGCTTTCAATAATTCAGAAAAAGCTGTTATCGCACACTTTTTTTTTAGCTAGTTTAGTCCAATTTTTTTGGTAATAAACTAGATCTACTTGCAGAAAAATATCGTATACAGTTATTCGTTTTGCTTTTTGCTTACTATGTTAGTTTTGCTGGCCCATTTTTTGCTCTGGTGCTTTTGTACGATATCCATTTTTTAAACGTTGTTTCCTTACGAGTGTTTTTATCCTACCGTAGTCATTATTAAAACTCTATCAACTTTTTACACGGGCAATTTCTGGATGACTATTCTTCCAACTTTCCTAAAATGCTTTCCACATAAATATCTGCCATTTATAAGACAAAAGCAAATTTTAGTCAAATTGCTCTCAGACGTGCTCAAATAGACTTTAGTTTGGAAATAAAGAATCTACTAGAAAATCTTGAACTCAATTTCAAAAAGTTTTTCTGCTGGATTATCAATAACTGGGCTTTCAGTGATGCATCGCTGTTTTGTCATCGGATTATTTATGACTCAGTGCAGCAACTTACACTATCTTGACTTACCGCTGGATCAGGGATGATTATAACTGCAAGATCAACCCACTTCAATACTTATACAAACACAAATGATAGCTGATTTCTGATGAAAAGTTATGCATAATCCTGTTTGATATAGTTTTCGGTTGGAGTTTTGAGCGGAAATCCCTTATGATGGACTGACTGAATGAAGGAAAACTGGAAAGTTTACCGGGTAAAGCCTTGGAAAGAAAAACATCTGTCTAATGGTCATCTACATTCAACGGTTATAATATGATTGTATGACGTAATAAGTCAGGCGGCAAGTCTCAGAGGCTATTCTCATGATTGAGGGTTCGGATGGTGGAACTCTTTTAGCGAATGAGAACCGTTAACAATCGTTAAATGGTCGACTTATTAGATGAGGCCTGGCTATGAGATCACCTTGGGTCGATAAGTGCCAGGCGATATCATAAACAGTTCGTGTTCCGGCTCTAGCAAGCCCTCAATTCATGTACCAGTCCCATTGCAATATTGGCTTATTTTGCACCGCTGTATTTCTTGCTCTAAAATCATTTGATTCTTGGATACTTTTGCACTATGTCAACGGTGAAGCATGAATCTGAGCCTCTCTTTCAGCTCGTTCTTGGGAAAATTTTTAGTCCAACGTTTTCCAAACAAGAACAAGACTGCTCGTTAAATGTTTCGACTGCCTTTTAAGGTCTATGGAGCAGTAATAACATAAAAAAATCAAATGTAACAAAAAAGTGTTTTTTTTTTATTTGAAATTTTTTGTAAGAATCATCCCCCCATATGCAATATAAAGAACGAAGTGATAAATTTCGCCACTAGTTTTTAATCAATTTTGGCAAATAAACTTCCTTCAATCAATTTGTTGGAACGATTTCTAAGATGGATTGAATCTCCGCTTACGCGTTACTATCGCGAAAAAAAATCGCGCTTATTTGTACCAAATGGGCCAAAATGGCAGCCTTTAAACCCCCATAACTTTACGAAAAATTATCACAGGTGAAATATCTTTTCAAATTTAAGCTCAATACAACAATACTTCTGGATGATATAAAAAAAATTCCGTCAAAAATGACTAGTTAAAAAGTCGAAATTTGTCTGAAGAAAAAAAAACCCACCCCGAGCACAAATATTCCGTTAATTTCGTTACGAAAGTGGGAATAACACGAAGTACTCATAGAGATTCATGTTACTTTGTGCACCTACCGAAATACATTGTAACTGCATGACCACCATTTTTCCTTACATGAAAATCATTTTTGTTCAAGTTAGGTTCACATTTCAAGTCAGTCCCTTCTCACTTTCTGAGAGTGGTTGCTACAAAACAGTTGAAAGAAGCTTTATCAACGTGCATGATATAGCATTGACTGGTCTTACCTCCAATAGATATTTAAAACATGAATGGAAAAGGCGGGTTGGAATGATACATGGATGTATGAATGTATGGACCTTGTCGATGGAGTTCCTGAGAGATGCCCTCTCCTTCAGGTGGTCTTCAGTGGCCTTCCTGAACTTGGAGTCTGCTGCATCTGCACTCTGCTTCGCCACAGACACCTGAACAGACACTCTGTTCATGCAGTCCCTCAATCACTACACTACTCTATAACTTATTGCATATAATAAGTCAAAATCAATTGTAATATTTTTTGACAAGTTCTTTCTTTCATGTTTTCCACTAAAACAAAACCCCAAATAAGTTTAAATTTTTAGCATAAAACTTTATAAAACTAAAATTATAAAACTAAAATTCAAATTGTAATGAAAGTTCGTCCGACTAGATTCGTGAAACCTTTTTTGTGTTAGCTAGCTGATAACAACTTTTTTATTTCATACTCTTTCCAATCATTACTTCTATGAATAAAGACCAACTTGAAGGCTAGAGAATTCTTGGTGTGACAATTTAGAGCACAATTACACATCAGGTTTTGAGAAAAACAAATTGAGATCGAAAATGCTTTTGCATATTGTTAGCCTTCCGACGTTATATAGTCTTGATCTTTTGTTCAATTTGTCCAAATGTCATTTTTCCAGTTGATTTTATATAGCTAAAAAAACTATTTGTCTGCACATTCAATTCTGTAAAACTAATGACTGTAAAATGATTGTTTAAATCTGGCGAGTACGGGGGGGGGGGGGTGGGGTGGTGGAGTTGGGTTTTAAAGAGCCCTGAAGACGAGCGTGTAGGACTGGAACCAACTGACCTCTCCATTTAAGTTCTGCACCTGTGACTTGAGCTGCTGGTTCTCCTCCTCCAGACTCTTGTTCCTCGCATTGGCCTGTTCCAACTGTCCCTCCAGCGTCTTGATCTGTTTCTGGGCAGTGGGTCCGATGTCTGTCTCCCCCTCCCCCGTCGGCCCCGTGAGAGTGTCCTGCGGGTTCTTCTCAAACTCCTTCATGTCGTTGTCGTAGCCTTGCAGCACTGAGTTTCCGGCCTCCAGCTACAAACAAAATGAAATTTTACAAAACAGATAGAAAAAATTCCAAATCCTGTTTCAGTCCCGTGTGAACAATTTCCTCTAAAATGGATTAAAAGAACCTCCCTTCCTTCCAACAGAGAACAGCAAACTTAACTGTTTTCAATGCCAGTTTTAACCCTAGTATGCTATTCACCATCAACCTTGTAATTGAAGTGTGTACTGACCTCCGCCTTCTCCCTGGCGAACTTCTCCTTCTGGGCCTGCATCTCACTCTTCAGTCGCTCCACCTGCTGCATGACGTCATCCCTCTCCTTGCCCGCCCTCTCCGCCTTCCGATTCTCCTCCTGCAGCTGCGCCCTCATCTTCCCTATCTAAACAAACAAACACACACACACAAACACACACAAACACACACACACACACACACACATACACACACACACACACACACACACACATACATTTCAACAAATAATAAATGGTTGCAGATGTTTTGCTCACGAAAGTTTCTGGGAAAAAGCAATCTAATGAAGTAGTTTCGAGAAATTAAAGTTGAATGGAATGGTCAGTTGGACACATTTTTCAGTTCGAGTTTGCAGTACTATGGATTCAACAATCTCTTAGAATTTAGAACAGACCTGTTGAGGTTCATTTTGAGTCAGGGTTTTTGGATATAAACAATTGTGCAGATGGATGAAAACTACTAATTCACACTCTGTACTAAAACTCAGGTAAGTATTTAATTTACTCGGAAGGATTTCAAAAAATTTACAAAATGAAATCTTAGTTCTCTGGAAACTGTGCACTCACTTGGCCCTGATGTTCGTCGTTCAACATCTTCAGATCGGGGTCATCAATGTCATCCGCACCTGATTTCCCTGAAAATGCAATCTGGAATTTTATAAATATGCTGAAAAAGGTTCAAAACATCGTCCTATTCCACAAAACTGCCTGTGGAGCAGAAATTTTTGCCAAGTGTTATCATTCTAGGGTTTCACTAGAACCTCTAACAAAAGCAGGCCCGTCAAAAAACTCCTTGAATGAATAATTGCTCGGACCACCCTTGGAATGGTAATTAATAATAATAATAATAATAATAATAATAATAATAATAATAATAATAATAATAATAATAATAATAATAATAATAATAATAATAATAATAATAATAATAATAATAATAATAATAATAATAATAACCTGCTCACCTCTTGGACAAATCTTAGAGAGTAGAGAAGCTAATATCCGTTTCAGCTAAAATTCAGATGCCAAAATATATTTCAAAAAAGCTCTGTGTCGAGAAAACCTGTTGTGGATATTTAACATTCCTTGTCTCTCAATTCTTTTATCCTTTCGATGAGCAACCAGGTGAAGGGGTCTGATAGTTCAGCAAATAGGGGACAATTATTTTAAAACTTAATAAAACTTTTGCCCACTTTTTATTGCAAATATAGTTTTGCAGGAACTTGTTAATTATTAAGCTATGGCTTTCTGTTTTGGACCCTATGTTTTACTTGACAGTTCCTACCCATGGCAGCAATCTGTGCATTTCTCTTCTGGATGTTGGCTTGTAGTCTGGCGTTGTCGTCCTTGAGGTCCTGGGCGGCCTCCTTCATCTGGTCCATCTGCTGTTTAGCCTGACTCAACATCATCACCTGTTCCATCTGGGCCGCCTCCCGCTGCTCCTTGTCATTACGAAGACGCTACAGTACAAAAAGAAAGCTGCACCTAGACATAACTATTATCGCAACTTTTTCGCAGTGCAGGTCTATTTTCAAGTTTTCTAATTCATTTATGATTAACTGGTGAAAAAAAAATCATTTGAGAGATCTTGATTGAACAAACTAAGTCCGTTTTCAGACTTGTTTCGAAAATCTTTTGAGGCAGCTATTTTTCAAAGACTAACTATTCTCAAACAGGTTCTGATTTTAACCCCGGGAAGGAGTGGATCAGAAAACTTAACTCAGTAAATTGTCAACACCTGTAAATTTGACCAAATAAACTAAAAGTACGAACTCTCAATTCTTCTTCTAACTCTCGTTGTTTTCGACCACCGCCCACAGCATAATGTTTGGCCTTGGCCAGTAGTGCCCTGGAAGCAGCGAAGCCCTCATTGGGTCTTTGAGGGTCTGGCTTCCTGTACTCAAACTGAGCTGCATTTGACTCACCCACGAAGTTCTTGCCGACCTGGAATCAGCCATTATACAAATTACAAAAAAAAATCGAAAAAGTTTAATGCCGAAACGAATTGTTGGTTTTGAATTATTTTTCGTTCATTCTTTAAAATTCGGAGTCAGCCCGCTTATTGTGTCCCAAATTGTAAGTAGTGGAACCCATCGAATTTGTTTGGGAAAACATAAGACTTAAATTTGTCGAAACATTAGTTGTGTCGCGGAACCCACAAGGAGTGAAAATGGCAAGATGTTGTGAAATCGTAATTGTAAGCAGGTTCCGCAAACGTATTCAACCAAAGATATTCGAAAAATTAGGACAAGTATAGAGCGAGCGTAAACTATTAAGAGCTATGACTAGAGAAAACTAAGTGCGCGAGGACTTTACCATTGTTTGTGGAACCTTAAGACTAATAGGCTTAACTCAAATCATGGGCGTACATAAATATATCCCTATAAAAAACATTTAGAGAAGGAGAGGAGGGTTGAGAATCGGTTTTTTCAGTTTTTGGCATAAACGCTCCTTTTCCCTAACCACTTTCTAATTAATGTATATTTTTTTAATTCAAATTGAACGTTTGATTGAATTTTTTACTGGATTGCTGATTACTATAGATATAAGTCTTAAAAAAGTTCACACAACCGAGTCTGTTCCCTTTTTGAAAACGAATGTATTTATGTTTTCTTATTATATGTTGTATATGATAAAATTTGTAGCCATGATAAAATTGTAGCCATAGGTCACCGCATTCCGCAATTAAAATATGAATTCCGCGAAAATGCGGAATACGATTTCAAAATGTGAGCTCTGCTTACAATATGCGGATCTTTTTACAAAAACGGATTTGGCGAAAACGCAATCCACAACACATATGTACGATTATTTGTTTGTGGGTTCCGCAAAATACTCTAAATAGGCAAATTTGTTCAAGATTCCGCAAGTTTAGCTGCCTTTAAGAGAAATTTTGAGCCATATAAAATTTAAACTATTGGTCAGTGGGTTCCACAAGAGCAGAAAAATCGAAGGAAGCAAGCCATTCTGCAAATTCCATGACAAAAACTATTTTCAGCCTGTGGCGGAATGGGATCACAATTCATAAAATACAAGGTTTGGCCTCGTAATGTGAACTGTAATTCAACTGATTGCTCCGAAATCGGGAATTGAAGTTGTCAATTTTTACACCTATTTTCAGGCTCATTGTACTTTTTTGTCTATTTTTGCAAAATATTAACCAAAATAAACCAACCATAGAGATGTCCTCTGCTAGAACACACAATTGTTCTCCATATTTCGTGGAGAGTGTCTGCATCTTCTGCTGCACATTCTCCATCTCTTGCTTCATCGAGTCTATTTGCTACACACAAAACAAATTTTGCATGTTAGCTAATTGAAGAGCTTCTTTATTGGCCATCGCAATTTCTCATCGGAAAACATACAAACAATTTTCGTGAAAACCACCATAATAGAAAACTCAATCACTTAATTAACCAAAGGCAGAAAAGATTCTTTCATTTAGACATGTAAATAAGAAAAATTCAGGAGAACAATAAGAAAGCCATTGAAAAAACTCCTTCATCATAGAAGCCCCTTGTTATGGTTGAAACCTTAAAACTGTTTGATAGTCTATTAACGACAGGTCCAGACATTTCTACGACTTGCTATTAGTAATCCTCTCACCGCTTTGGCCTCCTCCACTTGCTTGTCCTTGCCCCTGGACTCCTCCTCCTTCTGCTTCACCATGGCCTTCGCATTCTCAACCTCTCCTTGGTGCTGCTTCGACTCCTGCTCCAGTCTTCTGTTCCGCTCTTTGTACTGGTCCACATTTCTACACATAAACACGACCAAGTTGCTAGAAACAAGCATGAAAAGTAGTCTATACCAAACAAGTTTTTACTATTGTAAAAATTAAAACACTGACTCAGCGCTGATTTTGATATGAGCTCAACTCGGCCTCACGCCCTAAGAGTCTTTCTATGCTGAAACTTAGAGGCAAATTGATCGTTAAACTTAAATAAAGGAAGTAAGAAGGGTGAATTTTGTCATATTCTTCAGCAAGAGACTGTCCCTGCCTGTTTAACTCTGTGACTTGTTCCATGGCTTTTCTTCCGTCCTGGGCGGCCGACTTGTACTTGTTCCCGTGTTCCTCCATCTGTGCTTTCAAGGTGTTGTTTTCTTGGGTGAGTTTTGCTATCTTGTCGTCTTTAGCGTCCATCTCTTTCACCATCTTGTTTCTTTCCTGAAACATGCAAAAAGGCTTAACTTTATACGTCTTCTCTCCCGTCAACTGGACAAAATTCTTGCAGCAAAATTCTGCTTTTGGTTCATAATTGAGAGTTTTCATTCTATGAGTGAAAACATTTAAAAAAGATTTTTTCTAAACCATGGTTGTTTTTTTTTTGTTTTAATAATGATGTTTTTGGTAAATTGGGGATCGTGAAGTGTTTTGAGGGTTTTGGATTTCGAATTTGTTAGATCTACAAAAATATCAAGAAAATTTGCGCGCTCCCCGTGCCAAAATCTAAAGCGTGAGGAACTTTCTAATTATTGTCATTTTTTTAATTCTAACAAAATCAATTTCCGATATCCACAAAAACTTCGCCCCCCCCCTTGACATCTCAGCAAATTTCAAGTAAAATACTTAACATATTGGCAAACTGTAAGACATTTGAGGATGGAGCAAATAAATGCCACACAAATGGTAAATATTTAGCAGAACGTAGCAAAATTGATCTCTTATCTACATGAGAACTCGCAGGAGAATAGTGCAAAGCCAAAAAAGAGTCAATGTACGCTCTGCTTTAATCTTCTCTCAATTAAACAAAAAAAAACACTTCGCAGTTTACCTGTTCATACTCTTCTGTCTTCAGCTTGACCTCCTGTTCCAGAACTGCCTTCACATCTTCCGGCACTTCTCCCTTCCCACCCTCGCCCCCTTCCCCGTCCTCCCCTCCCTCCCCATCGTCACCTGACTCCCCACCATCTCCCCCCTTGCTTCCATCGCCACTCTTGCCCCCTTCTCCATCCTCCCCTTCCTCCCCCTCATCCCCCTCTTCGATCCCACTCATTTTGGACCCCTTGCCACCTTTGCTCTTTCCGTCTTTGCCCTGAAATGAAATCCCTATTATCAATTCAACTGAAACAAAGTCCTGCCACGCAAAATAGTTATTACAAGTATTGAAATGAGTATTATAAGAATTTGCATAAAACGAATTATAGTTGCAAACATCTACCTGTTGAAAATTTAGTTATCAGAAAACGGAACTCGAATTAAGTTGATTGATGAATATTGGCTCAATTTACCTTCCCAATTAAATGTTATCAGCCAATGTGACTAAAACAAAAGCTCTTTCTCGCACTTTTTTCACCTAGAACTATGAGCTCTTCCATAATCAAACCCCCCTACCCCCCGCCACCACCTATACCTGCAATAAGTTTTTTGTTCAATTTCTACAATTGTCAAGAAAATTGGCATGAGAGTATAATAATCATTTGTAAATACAATTTTCGTCTCATACGACCCTGTAAAGCCAACAGTTAGACCATAAAAATGAGGATTATATCGGATGCAGGTAGCGGCAAAAAAAGCCTAAATTGTTGCGCTCTTTGTTTAAATCAAAGGTTTTCGCTATTGTCAGTCGCTCGTATCGACAAAACAAACATTTTGTGGCGTTACAAGTTGGCTTCTACTGAGACCAACAAACCAGCCTGTGGTTCAGTTATTTGGCTATAAAACACAGGTGTTTACTATATTTCGGTGCATTATTCAAAAAAGTAGTGCAATATTCGATACACTAGTGCATTATTAAGAACAGTAGTGCAATACTTTAAAAAAATAGAACAAAACTTAAAACAAATGCAATATTTGAAACAATAGTGCAAAATCTTTCTTAGAAAAATCAACCAAAACAATTTAGAAGAAAAAAATCAAGTGTTAGCGTGACAATTTTTTCAAATGCGTGCGTCGTGTTCAATTTTTTCGCGTGTTTCATACCAGATAAGCAACAACTTATATTGCATCTCGAAAATGGTTCACTTCTCGACACTGCGTGTCTCGATTTTTCACAAAATTTCTCGATGCAATATATAGCTGTTACTTATTTTTAACATAAGTCAGCAAAAGAAAAAAATGTTTTGCAATGACTTCTAACAGTGACTGGTTCTTCTTTATAAAAAGATAAAGTACTTTTTCTCAAACTTATTTGTGATTCTGAAGAAGAGTATGTTTTTGCTCTTTCACATATGTTCTTTCACGGCAAGGCATGAATCAAAAATGAAATATTAGAACGCATGATTGAAAAAAGGAATCATTTGCATAGTTTCGCGCACTTTTCCGGGCTCTTTCAAAAACATACTCAACAGTTAAGTTAGAATATAGTTGAAGATGGCATCAGGCAAAAGAGCCGAAATCGGGCACTTCGAAAAAAAAACTAATAGTTTCATAATTTAATTAACTTTTTTGTTGATATCTTAGAAGGTTTTTAAAACAAATGAAGTTTTTCTCAAAAAAAACCTGAGAAGAGACTTTTTTTGAAGGTAGCTTTTTTGAAAACCGCATTTATCCTCATGCAAATTTTGAAGGCCATAAAAAGGCCAGCAATACCTTGGAGTGCAGATTTGTAATCGATCAGAGAGAGAAACTCTGAGCCAACTATGTTCATTTTTTCTAACTTAACTAATTTCACCATATTGCGTTAATGGTGAGTAGGAATTTGACATCATCGGGTCAAGGTTCAAATAGAGAAAACGCTTTAGAAGTTTGTTTTTCATTTTTTTTTTTGAATAACATGTTATATATTTACACCTCCTGTAGATTTGAGGTGGTTTCTTACAAAAAGTAGAAGTAATTTAGATTCGATAATTTTTGTTGAAATCTAGCAGTACTGTTGAAATATTGATGCAGTAATCATTTTCACGCTGGCAGTTCCGTTTTCGTTCCAATAAAAAAAGAGCTCGCTTTAACTAGTGCTGTTTTGTCTTTACAAAAGGCATTTACTTTGACCTAAATTATTTCATGCGAAATTTCTTTCTGATTGAAAAACCTAAAACTCTTACAAAAAAAACTCAAAAAATTTAGAGGTTGATAACCGTGGCCTGATGTTTGGGCAATTCTAAGTATGCAAAAGTTTCAATGAAGGTAAGGAAACAGAAAAAATTACTGACCTATTTTTCAATAAAAAAATAAAATATTAACAGATGGTTCGAAAAGTGTCAATGGTTATCGCTCGACTAGAATAAGGCTCGACTAGCATAAAATTTTTCAAATATGAAAAATGTATTGTCTAGCATAAAGAAACAGAAATGTGAAATTAGGCAAACAAGCGATGACATTTTGAGACCAAGTTAACATCCTCAACCCGCCCCATTCTGTTTAGGGAGAGGATGTTAACTTGCTTAATTTTGGGTGTTTTATAGGATGTTAACTTTATCCAAATTTTGTATCAAATATTGGGACCAGTAGGGGATAAATTCTGATTGGTCACATTTCGAACCGGTAAAAGATTTAAAGAGAAAGCATATGACCCAACACATTGTCCCCAGTATTTGACCCCATAGCCGCATAAATAGTCCACACTTTGGTACTATTTAGCGTCCTCCATTTCTTGCTGATCGAACCTACAATTGGCATCTATATTTGATACATAATTGCTTTGTCAAAAATAGAGGGAATAGTTAGCAAGTTCCAATAGGGGGAAATAGTTAACAAGATCCTAATGATTTTATTTGTATTCAACATTTCAAGTTTGTATTTCGATTTTTATGCTTGTCAATCCATTTTAAGTTTTGAAGGTTTTATGCTAGTCGAGCTTCATGCCAGTCGATACACCGCCATTTCAAAGAAGGCAAAGAAACAGAAAAAACTACCGACTTGTTTCTCAAGAAAAAGCACCTATCAAAAATAAGTTGGTCTGCCCAAAAAGCTCTTAGTTTCCAGCACAGTGAGTGACGAAAAAAGTCTAGCCGCGGAAGAACAAAGTCAAGTCGCAGACAATTAAATGCAATTCATTTTTTTCTGTAAAAAAGAATGTGTCTGGTCTACGTATTGAGCGAACCTTTGAAACTTTGATAGCTAAAAAGGCGAAAAACTGTTTGTTTGAGAGTGGAACTGATTTAGCGACAAAAATGAAAACTAAAACTTTTGTTTCTTCAATTTTGGACTTTTTGCATTAGTAAAAATGCTTATCATACAGTTTTGATGAAAACGTAAATTGTATGATAATGTTTTCTTTCCATAGGCTCCATTCACAATCTTGTATCGCTAGCATTTGTAGTGTGTGTATGTGTCAAGTCAGGTAGTGTGCATGTAGTATAGTCTACTCACGGCCTTGCTGCCTGCTTTGCTGCCTTTGGCGGCCGAGGTCTTGCTCAGTTTGCTGCCCAGTCTCTCCGAGTCCTTATTCTTCTGTCCAGCTGGCGTATCAGGTGCTGCAACAGAAGAACAACTTGAACTACTAGTTCTATATAGCCTAGATATGCTAGATGGATTTAGTAGCGGAACTGCAATTCTACCGCTTGGCTTCCAATTTGTATCCTTATGTGATCTTGCATAACAAGTCGAAACAACTTTTTCTCTAAGTAATATTGACGAAAATCCTATTATAACATAATGAGCAGAAGTTTTTCGTTTTTTATGGAGATCAGCCCGCTGAATCAAAATTTTTTCTTTCAAAAAGTTCTTCTTTTCTTTAATTAACTTTCAATAATCTTAAGCGGCCGAAAAAGAATCGAAAAAAGTTTGGACACGTTTCTTAAAGATGTTATCAAAAAAGTATTAACTAAGCAGTCGAAGCATATAGTCGTAAAAGGTTGCACCAAGATGTTGCAGTTTAATATCGGTCTTTTGGGTCATTTCTGTATTCAAAATATTTCGGTATTTGCTCAAAAAGGACAATGAAACTAATGGTTGACGGGAAGTGAAAAAGACTAACAGTCTCCATCGTCGTCGCCCATCTTCTCTATTTTGGCATCCGCGTCTCCCTTTCCGAAGTCGTCCAGCAGTTTCTTCAGCTCTTTCAGGTCCACGTCTGGTTTCGGCTTACCACCTGGAATATTGCAAAAAAAAAATCATTTTTGGCATTGTTTCTCAAAAAATGCAAAAACTCACTATAACTGTGAAACTCTACAGACATTGCGAACCTGCAAACCTCTTCTGAGTACAGTTTGAAAAAATAATTGAGCAATAATTGAGCAGTGCCGAGTTTTTGAAAACTTTGTCTCTCTATGAAAGCTTGGAAAATCAGTTTCAATGAAAATCACTTTAAAATGAAAATACGGCTAAAAGTCCCATCTTTACCTATATCATCTGAACGCTCTTTGTTCTTAACTTATTAACCTGATTATCAGTCGAAAAAAAACCATGGTTTTTACTGAGTGACAATCGCGAGCATGACTTGACTTCGGCATAGAATCAAGTTACCTTTTCGATGTTCTTCGGCTTCTTTGATCAACTTGAGCACCAGTTTCTTCACCTTGGCTCCTTTGTTGCACTCATTGTTGTACATCTTCATCCAGTACTCACTGGACTTCTCAGTGTTGGCCTTCACATTATTTTTAATAGTCTTCACTCGCTGGCCGAACATGAGTGTTGAGTGTGTCTCCTGTTCGTTCATTTTGGCGGGAGAACAGCAGATGACCATGGTGGTCCTAGCGTTGCCTCCCAAACTCTCCTAAAAATATTGGATGGGTAGGTAATGTTGCGTTTGACTAGCTTAGCTGGGATAGCTTCGATCAATGTTTTTACATTTTTGACAGATAAGATTTCAAGAAAGGCAAAATATTGCCAAAAAACTGAAGATTTTTTCATTTTGTCGCTTGCATTGATATCAATTCGACAATTAAAATAGGTTTTTGAGGCGTATGAAGAATTTAGATAGAAAAATAAAAATTTACAAATTTCTTCCTGTGTTTGAATGAATATTTTACAGAAATTTTTGATAAAAAAGTTCAAAAAATTGATAGAATAGTCTGGTTCAGAATGAAAGAAAGCTACCAGGATATAATGGTAGACTTGATGAGAAGAAGGCTGATCACCTGTAGAATACGAGTTAGTTTGCTGTCTCTGTATGGCACATGTGCCTTCTTCTTCTCCGTGAGGGCGTTGATCACATTTCCCAGACAGGAGAGGGATTTGTTAATGTTCTTCGCCTCGTGCAGACGGTCTCCAGTGGCCCCCGTCTTCGCCACCTTCTCTGACCCGGCCAAGTCCACCAGGAAGAGGAGACTGTTGCTTTTCCCTTTCATCGTCGACTACAAACACAAATGTTAAATATTAATAAATTATGTCCTTTTCTCAACTTTAGTATTAGAATTACTTCAATTTTTTTAATCATGATTTTATTGTTTTGATGTGATTTGGGATTCAGATAAGCGTAAATTTTTAATAAATACAAAGAAACTGACGAACTGCTTACAAAATTATCGATCAGGGTGAGCGTCGCAGCTCCTATCTCTATTTCAGAGACAGGACTGTACATTAGTAGATCAATTTTAGATTTTGAATACAACCCATGAATAAATAGTTCCAAAGATAGAAGCACGTACCTGTTCAACCTTGAGTTGTACTACACTGTGTGACCTTGAGGAGTGTTCGTTCATGTTTGTTTTGCCCGTGTGTCTGTTTTTCTTGCCCTTCTCAATGCACTTCATCACCTCCTTCGGTGAGCCCAAAGACTCTTCATGCAGACCCTAAATACAATCACATACCAGGCAACCATTCAAATATAAACAAAAACATATACACGCCATTCCACCCGTCGTTTCAATTCCTCAAAAAAATTATTGTTTTGCTTATAGAAAACAAACTCAAACAAGGATAGCCGGTTACTGTGCAAGTAGCACAGAATGTTCCGACCATAGTCTTAGAAAAATACCAACATTTTTTCTCTAAAACGAAAAACTAGAGCCTAGGCATATTCAACAGTCATTTCAAAATAAACAAATTGCAAAAAAAATTAAAAACTTTCAAAAAAAATGTCTCGAAAGTTTTTTAAACTCGTTAATTCGCTCAACTAATTCGCTCGAAGTTTGACCAAAAATCAAAATAGTTTTTTAATGCCGTTCGAATCACGACTAAATGATTTTTAATATGATAGCATTCCGATAATTATTTGCCCAATTTAATAGAAAATTGTGGTACCTGATTTTGTGCGGAAAACAAAAAAAAAGAAAAACTAAAACACACCGAAATACAAAGTTCCTTCCCATTTTCAATGGTCAGAAGACAAACCTAAATGCTAAATCCTCAGAGATTCCAACCCCTCACCACGGAAAACAAAAAAGAAAAAACTAAAACACACCGAAATACAAAGTTCCTTCCCATTTTCAATGGTCAGAAGACAAACCTAAATGCTAAATCCTCAGAGATTCCAATCCCTCAGAGATATTCAACCCTTTGCTACTATTTACGACAATATTTCCGATCGACTGACCCTCAGTGTCAATTTTTATAACTGTGAGAGGGAACACGCGCAAAAAGAAAACGGAATTTTTGGTCATTTTTTAATTCAGAAAACCAACTTTGTAAAAATGAAGTCGAAAAACTAAAAGTTTGACAAATCTTTCCAAAAAACTTTGAAAACCCATCATCTCGTTCAGGCCCAATTTGATTAAAACAAAAAATGTGATTTTTTTCCTGTTGTTCATATACAATTGATATTAATAACAGCACTCATTCCATGCAAATAACTAGATCTTTTTTCTGATATCAGTGTTAATCAAATGTTTATAATTCGCACCAATGCCCTTTTGTTCTTCCAGAACTTTGTAACCTCAAAGGGTTTCATTTTAAAGTTCCAATGGTCTTGACTCAGATGCCAAAAAAATTGTCTCGTTGTCGAGAAAAACTGGTCAGTGTTTCCGTTTTCAGACTAAATTGACAAAACTTGAGGCTAACCTCCGACAACTTAAGTCTACTAGATTTCATTACGAGGCCAAACTGTGCATTTTGATCTTTGTAAGCGGATTCTGCAACAAGGACACTCCCTTTGTTCTTTTTTTGTTCTTTCATTCTCTTTGATCGTTCCGACAACTTTTTATCATGTTTTAAGACTTGTCTCTGGAATCCAGGACAATGCAAACACAAAATATTGGGCCTATCCAGTGCACAGTTTGGCCTCGTAATGTTTTAATCTTGTTTTTTTATTATTACATCTTATTTCATTATTTTGTCACCTAATTCAGACAACTTTTAATAAATTAGTTTTTTTTTAAAAAAAAACAGAAAACTGAAGAACATTTTTGGATTTTTTCATAAGCTTTTTCTTTTTTCATTTGGACTTTTTCTTTTTTTTCAAAATCATTGTAATTCTATCATCCGTACGCCGGATGATAAATGAAGAAAAAACCAGAAAAAATTAAATCTTACCTTGACGTAAGGAGATCCTTTTTTCTCGTGTACTGGGAGGTTGTCATTCTCTGGCTTCAAAAGATCCTGCAACTTCTCATTGTAGATCTCAAAGTAGGACAACTTAATGCACAGTTCAGTCTTCTCTTTAGCGTCATCCACACTGCTGAAGAGAGAATCCACAATTCGCGGAATCACTCCTGAAAGAGAGAGGAACAAACTCCACAGAAGTATATTTAGTTTCAGCTGAATAATTGAAGATATACATACACTAATTTTAATAAACGTACATAATCATACAGGACGAAAATCTCAAAAAGATCATTTTGTATATATTATATTTATATAAAAAAATGTTAATGATCTTTAGGAAACTGACTCAACTTATTTGATTTTTACAAAATTTTCAAGTTTTTGAGCTTTAGGGAGCTAAAAACACCTCTTAAACTACAGCTCCCTTTTTTCCTAGAACCAAATATTGTTTACATTGTTTGGATAAAACCAATCAAGATTGATAAAAAGTTATCAAATATATATTTATTTCAGTTTTCAAATTTCAGACCTCGCTATATAATATAAATTTTTTTATCTTAAAAAATATTTTTTAGTTCAACATGTGATTGGAAAACTTGAAAATTGTTTTTTTTTGAAAAACCAAAATTATATTGACCAAAAAGTATTTAAATCAGTATCAACCAATATGCAACAAAATTAAAAATGACAAATAAACAGCAAAAAAAATAAAAACTTTCAGTTTAAATCAAACACATCTATTCCAAAACAACTTTCAAAATAAATTTGGAATTTTTTTTTCGGAAATGAAGAAAAAAACACTTAAAAAGATCAACCTCCAAATAAAAATTGAAAATTTTCGACGTTTTGAGTGCAAGTTGATACCATTTGGGCATTTTTGGGTTTTGGCTTAAACAATTTTTTGCCTTATTGTAACTAGTTTTTTGGGATTGCGAATTTTGATTAGAAAAAAGGCATTTTGAGACTTTCTACAAACAGAGTTTTTATTGCTTAAAAACATGCAGCTAGTCCTACAATAGCTCCACGTGAGTGCTTAGAGTCCAAAATTTTAGAAACTTTTTGTTTTTCGAATTTTCTAAGTACGGGAATTTTTATGCTTGGTGTGTTTTTTATTTCGACCATTTTTAGCAATCAATAGAAAAGTCTTCAGCAAACGATTGTTCACCCCAAAAAAATGATTCCTTGATATTTTTTCTTTTCGAGATAACTTAGCGGCGATTCGTTTTGATAGAATTCTGATGATTTTATAATTGCCATATTTGCCATATTTTGGTATAATTTATGCGCGCTTTCTAATATTTATGCTTTGACGAATTATCCCGCACTTAAAATTAACCCAAACTGAAATGAAGTGAGTTATTTTTTTGTCTGAGATCCTAAAACGAGTTTCATATTGCTTTACCTATAAGTTGATATTAGCTGTTAGGGGAGGAAAAAGTAAATACAAACTTTCAGAACTTTTAATTTATCATAGTTTCAATAACCAAAAAGAGGTCGGGATGAATAAAAGGGCAGACTGATGATTCAGGATAAGGCCCTGATACCAGCAGTCTTGTTAAAGTTTAAAGAATAGTTTTTAATTATCTTAGATTAGAGTTTTTATCTTATAGTTTCTAAATTAATTTTAGATATCGACAACTAAAGTAAAAATTTTGAACGCAATTCTTAGACCAATATTTTTTCTTCCTATTTCCTGAATAAAAACAGTTTTTGTTCTATCATGTCATTAATTATTTCTCAACGAAGTTTGTATTTCAACCGAAATAGTCCAAGTTTTATACTTTTAACGAAATAAAGTCTTTTCAGTTGTTTTTTTTTGTTTATTCGAATAATCAACACATATTTTAAATTGCGCTGCTTTTCCTGCAACTTGCAAAAATGAGCTTAACTAGATGGGCGTAATTAAAAAAGTGATACCTTTTCCCTCCTCGTCGTTGAGTGCGCCCTCCATGGTAAATGTCTTCCCAGAAGCAGTCTGTCCATATGCAAACACTGTCGCATTGTAGCCTGCATGAGAAGTGATGACATCAATTGTAACATGAGTGAAAAACTGTTGATTTTTGTAAACTAGAAGCAATTTGGGTTATTTTCTACTTCTCTGCCCCCCAATTTTCAAACCCTAATTTAGTTATATAACACGTAACAAACTAAAACTTAGAACATTTGAAGGAGAAAGTTGAAAAATTCAACCAAAAAAAAAATTAAGATAAGAAACAAAAAGTGTGAAAGAAATTTTTTAGCGTGAGTTTTTATCTTATTTCGATTCTGATTGTTTAATGTTTGTATTTTTGACGAGTATGAAATGGAAAAAAAAATCATATCAATAACTGATGCACCAAAACATTGGCAAATTTTTGAAAAAAGGTTTCTTTTTCTCACAACCAAATTTTTTTTTCAACACTTACCTTTGAGCACATGTTCTATGATGGGTTTCATGCCCTCGTCGAAAACCTCTTTTTGTGTAGCTTCTGGCTGACACACCGCATCAAAGTTGAAACACTTCTTTGGATGGGAGTTCGTTGTAACTCCGTTCTCACCTGAAACGGCTGATTAGCGTTGCTTGTCTTTGGCAACCACCTTGGAACTTTTGCAAATAAACTGTCCCTTGTGAATCCATCAAAACTTTTTTAACTATTACCCACCCATTTTGCGCAAACGCAAATTTTTTCTAGTTGTTTTAAGCAAGCAATCATTATATCACAACTGAAACAATCGACTCTGGTAATTTCTCAAATCGCTCAGTTTCAAATTCAAATATTTTCTCATGGTTTTTCGTAAAGATAATCAACAGTTAATTGAGCACCCGGGTTGACCTCTATACACCGAAAATGGTCATCATACAATTGCATACACCGAATGTATGGAAAAATGATAGTCATACAATTTTCAGACAATTTTGAAAAATCATTGGAAATTTTTTTAAACTAATTTCTGCGGCTATGTGAACCAATTAAAACAGTCTGACGATTAAGAAAGCTAGATTTTTCTTTGGACAAAAATTTTCATCATACAATTTCCATTCTGGAAAATTGTTTGATAAGCGTTTTTCCATTAAAATTAAAACTTTTAAAAACTTAAGAAGATCGTTTGTAATCAAGTTTTAATTCGTTAAGAGCATTTTTCGCTACACTGAGAGCTTTTTTGTTTCGAAAAAAAGTTTGGATCTAAAAATGCTTATCTTACAATTTCCATTTATGATTTTTGTATGACGAGCATTTCTTTTCGAGAGTCTTTCAACGTTTTTCATTTAGTTTAAAAGAGTTTAAAAAATGTTTCATTTGTTGAGAGTGTTTAAAATCTAAATAATGTACTAAGTTTAGTTCAAGAACAAATTTTGAAATTGGTTTAAAAATTTTATTATTGGTTTTTCATTTTTTAAGTTGAACAGTTGTCGATTATGTCATATTCACTAACGTTTTCCGTGCTGGTATAGTTCACTCTTCACCCAACGCACAACAAACGACTCTAAATTTAATCGATGATTATATTTATTCGATGATGACTGTTTTTTATACAGTTTATAAGGTTCTTTATAGGAAATGCATTTGTGGATGTCAGAGCTATTGGAGTCACAGAGTTTGCCGGATATTGTCCCTACCTCCCCCCAAGAAATACAGGTTTTTAAAAAAAAAAAATTGAGGTACCACTAACACCCTCCTCAGTATTGTCCCCATAGAATCAGATTAGGACCTTGCTGCTATCTAAAGAGTTGAGAAGTTATCCTGCAGAAAATTATGAAACTGAGGTTGCAACTTCTAAGAAAAGTTTTTTCTCAGGTTTTCTTCTCTGTTCGTAGATTGCACGGCTTATTAGATCTGCTTTTTTTCCCGAAAACTGTTGGTCATACAATTTTCATAAATGACAAAGTTTTAGTCATACAATTTCCATATATGGAAAAATTTTTATCATTGAGTTTTCTTACAATTTTCTGTACGTATGGAATTGCATGACAAGAAGTTTCTCATATATGGAAATTGTATGATAAAAAGTTTTGGTCTACTCGGGCATCTAATGAAAGATCAACCCTTATTCGATAGACAAATTGCGTACAGGAAAAAATTATTGACGAAACAGCGCTTTTAAACAAATTATTTGACGTCATGAAAGCAATGAACAAAATGTATTCATGGTAGTTATTGCACTAGATTGGCAGCTTTTGATTTGTTGAACCATACAATTTTGATGCATTTTCTGATGAGTCAAATGAGACAAACTGATAAAGTTTTACATAAGTAACAGAACCCAGAGGGTCAAAACAAACAACTCCCATTTATCGAAAGTAACTCTAAAATGCGGAATACCTCAGGGCTCGCTCCTCTATCGCCTTCTTGACTCTTTTTCCTACAAATCCGTAATTTTTCTTTTCACATCATCGGATTTTTTTTAAATAAAATTTGGCATAAGGACTAATTAGGCCATGGCAAACTTACTTGGTCTCGATACTCAACCTTGTAAAACCACTCGTTAAATTTGAAATCGATGCTTATGTGAGGTGGGGAAAAAGGAAAAAGAACCGCCTACTTTTACTGACGATTCGTTGCTCTAGGTTGTCCTACTTAAATCAGACAGAAACAGTGACAATATAAAAAACAATATAAGAAAATAGTGAACTGGCTAGTAGTTCCTGGTTGTCAATCTCAAGAAAGACAGGACCGAACTCATGGCAGTAGGCAGTACTCGAAAATTGCCAACAACTTACAAATTTCGAAATTGATGAAATCTATTATGATCGATTTAATGAAGAAACTTCATCAAGTTAATGGGAGTGGCCCTAGACACAGTTCTCTGCATGAGCCTTTAGATAAATTTTTCTGCAGAAGCTTTTACAATCATTTAAGAACACTATAAAAATTGCAAAAATTTTTGATTTTTGAGAGCAGTAAAATAATTGCTATGGTTCATCACAAATTGACTAATCCATTAGCATATACGCCAGTTTACCCTTTTCAAGCTTCTAGTTGAAGAGAGCATGCCTTTTCAATTAATTTAGAATCTGTGAAAAATTATTTACTCACCAGATGAAGTGCCAGCTTATATTGTTTCCGAAATCAAATCCAGTCAAAGAAGTCCAGCCAAAGTGATTCTACCTAATGCAAAAAAAAACTTGTACAGAAAAGATCACTTTGCTTTAGTGGTTTCAATTTTTGGACGCTATTACCGAATAAATTAGAATCTAAGACTCAAAAAAAAAGATTTAGATTTAGCCCTGAACTAATTTTAAAACTTTTTTTTGAGTTTTCGATTCTAATTTATTCGGTAATAGCGTCCAAAATTTGAAACCACTAAAGCAAACTGATATTTTCTGTACAACTGTTTTTTGCATTGGGTAGAATCAATTTGGCTGGATTTGATTTCGGTCAAATTTCACATTCATGCTGTTTAATAGTTACTATTCAAAGATAGTAGCATGCTTAGAATTGACTCTTGGTTGCGCCGTCTCCATCTCGATCTAGAAAGTGTGAAAATGGCTGAGTTTGGTCGCGCCGGTCGCACCATTTAATGAGTCGCAAGGTCGAATACATACACCTCAAGAAAGACAAGACCGAACTCATGGGAGTAGGCAAAACTCGAAAAATGCCAACAACTTGCAAATTTCGAAATTGATGAAATCTATTTTGATCGATTTAATGAAGAAACCTCATCAAGTTAATAGGAGTGACCCTAGACACAGTTCTCCTCATAGGCCTTTAGATATCACTGATTGAACGAAGAGGTCACTATGCAAAAAGTGAGACTCAATTATTGGCTTTTTTTCCTTTCCCCCCACCTGCAATTTTTTATAATTAAAATTACTGTTAACAATTTCCGATTGTTATGAAAATTGACATGCAGATAAATTACACACATAGTTGGTCTTCGTAATCAACCTTGTAAAACCACTCGTTAGAAGAGTGGACACATGGTGATGGTGAAGGTCATGTTAAAACCTGTCAATGATTAATTAAATACGTGTAGTCTAAAATTAGAATCACAACATCAGGATACGATTTGAATAGAACCTCAATCTAGAACACTTACAATGTACAGAATGCGCAGTTTGGCCTCTTAGTGTACTGTGAATTAGTTGTTCGCAGGGTTTGCAATTCTTAAATAGTTGCGCCATTGGGAGAAAATAGTTAAAAACATCCATCAACTATCAGTGTGTGTGGTCAGTTTGAGCGCACATCGAAGAGATTATTGTGCTTTTTTGTTTACAAAATTTGCAGAGCATCAACTTGAGCTGACACTGAAACCAATCCAGCCAAATAAAAGCATCGCGTACTTTTTAACTTTTTAAGCGTTTCAATTTTATAAGCAACAACGTTATCTTTTTCATTCAAACTGTTTTTCAAAAAATAAAAGGAGCTGTTACAGTCAGTAAGAATTTAATATATTAAATTGAGTTCGATAAGCAGACACTGAGGTTCGCCTGGGCTCTTTTGCCTCACACCTGGCACAAGCATCAATTATGCTTGTGGATGCACATGCATTTATGGTGATTCGAATATTTTTACAAGGTTATGAAGACGAACTATGTTCGTCATGGCTTTATAAGTCGTTTTTGTTCTGATTTCATATTGAAACAGAAACAAAAAATTTGGCGCTCTTTTTCCTTCCCCCCCCCCCCCCCCCCACCTCACGAGCTTCAATATATTAGTGTAACGAGTGGTTTTACGGGGTTGAGTATGAAGACCAAATATGTTTGTCGTGGCCTTATTAGTCTGTATGAAAATTTTCATTACGATCGGACAATGTGGTCAACAAATTTCCATGAAAAAAATTGCAGGTGGGGGGAAAAGGAAAAAGAGCCAAATTTGGGCTCTTTTCCAGTTCCCCCCTTTCAAATTACCGAGTTTTATGTTTGTTTTACGTGTTATTACGGCTAAATGCGTGATGTTACGCTGTAGAGTATGAAGAACAAATCTGTTCGGAATTGTCGATTTGTTCAGATTTGTTCACCACGCCAAATTTCATTGCATTATGACAACGTTAAATAAGCTTTTCAAAATTGAATTTGAAAGGTGGGGGGGGACTGGAAAAGAGCCAAAATTTGTTGTGCTCACAAAGCGTGACGCTGCCGCCACCATAAAATCAACCTGTTTATATCCCTTTGCAAAATGAATATAAATTAATGCTTAAAGTATTTGGAATAACTCGTATAACGTTTAAAGTAATGGGAATAAGAACTACTCTTCTCGTAAAATACGAATGTACGAATGACTATTACGAGGGATAACGAAGTTAAAAATTAACTTCTTATTTGCTACGGTAAATTGGGAGATTTTCCAATGAAGTATAAATAGAAACTAAAGTAAATATGGAGGTTCATTCCAACAATTTTCTCTTAAGCCACTCTAACCATTCTCTCTAAAAATACTAACCAATCTCAACGAAAAAACATCTCAAAGCCAACTCTTAAAAAATATCGAGGCAATTTGTAGTAAATTCATACTAATTTTTTTTTACTAATAAAAGTTTTTCCACTGAATTTTAGATTTATTTTCTAAGATAGAAAGTAGAAAGTTCTTATATTACTAGCAAGCGTTTTTTCCGACGTTCATAAGCAATGCTAACGTAGTAGTATGGCAACTTTTTATAAAAAAATCGAACCATGTGAACGAAATATTTACTCGCAAAATTTCGCAGGTGGAGCAGCAAAAGAAAAGGAGCCTGTCTGCTTTTGCAAGCTTTTGTCGACTTTCCTCTTCAATAATTTCAAGCTCAAACTCGCTCATTCATCGTCTGTCGCTGAGTTTCCGGCTTATTTTCCCTTTTCGCCCCTTTCAAATTCAATTTTGAAAAGCTTATTTAACGTTGTCATAATGCAATGAAATTTGGCGTGGTGAACAAATCGACAACTGTGAACAGATTTGTTCTTCATACTTTACAGCGCAACATCACGCATTCAGCCGTAATAACACGTAAAAAAACATAAAACTGCGTATTTTGACAGGGGGAAACTGGAAAAAAGTTAGATTTCCTGTTTTTGGCTCGTTTCCAATCCGCCCATCTGCAATTTTTTTAATGAAAATTACCCTGCATGGCGAATTTCTTTGGCAAAATTAGCGAAGGAGGGGTTGCTGTTGCTAACGAATCCTAGTTTTACATAGCAAAGGCTCAGGAAAAGAAGCCTAAATCAGTTAATAATATCTGAATGATCTGAACATCAATAGGATAACCCGGGTCGAGGTCCCAAACTCAAGTCCAGACTTTGTAAGAAAATCGCCCCATATCCGAGTCCGGACTCAAATTGTACAGTTGCGCCGAGAGTCTAAATCGGGACAGGAAATCGCGAAAGTCTGGACATGTCCAAAATAACTCGCGAAGCTCTGGACACAAGTCGCTGACCTCGACCCGGGAACTAATTAATCTACTTAGATCTAGATAGTAGATATTATATTTTCAGCGTAGCTGAAGTGACCTTTGAAGATGATGACGCTCTTCTCTCCCTTCTTCTGCTCGTTTTTGTTGATGGGTCTGATCCTCGCAATCACCCGCACACTCACAGCCTCCCCACCCATTATAAAACTCTTACTTCTACTTTTGTTGCTATTGTAGTGACGTCACAGCAGAAGTGTGTGAGAAAGTAGTCGACCACTAGAGTTGGTGAATTTCAACAATTGCGAACAAAAAAAACGAATCAAAATTCGGGTTCGATCAGGGTTCGATTGCAGCCCTTTCCATAATAGGCTCATCCTTTCCTCCCACCCCCCACAATTTGAATTTCACATTTAAAAACTCATGGCTCTTTTCCATTTTCGCCCTTTTCAAATTCAATTTTGAAAAGTCCATTTAATGTTGTCATAATGCAATGAATTTTGGCGAGGTAAGCAAATCGACAACTGTGAACAGATTTGTTCTTCATACTTTACAGATTAACATCACGCATTTAGCCGTAATATCACGTAAAACAAACACAAAACTCGGTATTGTGAAATGGAGTGGACTGGAAAAGAGCCAAACTAATTTTATATTATTAAAATGTTAAAATGTAATAAAGTTTTGCATGTTGAACAAACTAGTTATTGTGAACACATTTGTTTTTCAAACTTTACCTCGTTACATTATGCATTCAGCCATAAGAACACTTAAGACAACTGAGAAAATGGACATTTTGAAATGTGGGGGGTAGAAAAAAGCGGCTCTTTTCCAGTTCCCCCTTTCAAATTACCGAGTTTTATGTTTGTTTTACGTGTTATTACGGCTAAATGCGTGATGTTACGCTGTTAAGTATGAAGAACAAATCTGTTCAGAATTGTCGATTTGTTCACCACGCCAAATTTCATTGCATTATGACAACGTTAAATAAGCTTTTCAAAATTGAATTTGAAAGGTGGGGGGGGAAACTGGAAAAGAGCCAAGGCTCTTTTCCAGTTTCCCCCCCCCCTTTCAAATTCAATACTGAAAAGTCTATTTAACATTGTCATAATGCATTGAAGTTTGGCGTGGTGAACAAATCGACAATTCTGAACAGATTTGTTCTTCATACTTTACAACGTAACATCACGCATTTAGCCGTAATAACACGTAAAACAAACATAAAATTCGGTATTTTGAAAGGGGGGAACTGGAAAAGAGCCTTGTATGAAATTGTATGACAAGAAGGTTCTTATATATGGAAATTGCATGATAAGAAGTTTTGGTCAACCCGGGCTGTGAGTTCCCTGCCGAGATTTGCCGAACCCACCTACCCATGCCACTAGCAGAGTAGAAACCTCTCATCCGGCCTAACTGAGACTCGATTCAGGGACCTTGGTCACTCGGGATCCCATCCTACCTGTTGTGCTAAATTTATACAATTTTGGCTCTTTGATGTATCCAATTGGGTTACAAGATTAAGTATCAAAAATAAAGGTAATTGAAGTTGTCTAATTAGTCAGCATGCCACCTCTTGTAAAACCGGACATTGTCAATCAACGTTTTACAAGCAAAAAATCAACTGAAGAAAAGGAAAAAAGAGCTTGTTTTAGTCAGTCACCCAATTAGATATTATTATTTGGTGAAGCCTATAAAATATAAATTCTTGGGCTCTTTTTCCTCCTTTTCTTACCCCCACATCACATAAGAATAAATTTTATGCTGTAAGGTTGGATATGAAGACTAAAAATGTTTGTCATAACCCATTTATTTGAAAAGCCAATTTTGTATCAATCGGACGATGTGAACAAAAAGTACGCCTAACAATTTGCAGGTGGGGAAAAAGAAGAGCCTTTTTCAAGAGTTATAATGGGGGAAAATTGTTTCTAACTTTGTATAGATTATTATATATAATTCCTAAATTGGACTATCCTTATAGAGTTTTGTGCTTCATTGCTGAAATTCACCCTTATTTTTACCGATACCACTTTTTAATAGAGCTTGGTTGCAAGAGTTTGTGGGTAGTACTTGGTTCGATGATTACTTAGGGATCAAATGCCTCAACAATTTGGCAAATTTCATCTGGCGTGGCTGGCGTACAAAAAACATCCGTGCATATTTAACAAGAAAAATTAGTCAATGCCGGAACCAAAAAATTGATTCCTTATTCTCCACCCTCCCCCTCACCTTACCTACGGTTCTGATACGGAATGGATAGCAATCGATTTTATACACCCTTACATAGTAAATGTTCTAATTCAGATATAAAATAATCTTTTTCAGGTCTACATTTCTAAATTTTAGATCTGAAATGGTTGTGAAATTTTAAAATAACGCTTATTTACTTTAAGAACAGAGGCTGATTTAGGGTTAGTGGGCGGTCCCCCGTTTGTACTTCCTTGAGATATCCATTTTTGGCGACGGACCCTAAAATTTTTCTAAAGGCGCCAATACGGCGCCAATATACTAACTTTGAGGGTGGAGTGCGCGCCAAAAAAAACGCGATATTTTATTAAACATTTTCTTTAACAAAAGTGCCTAAAAACGCCTTTTTTGCCTGTTTTTTTTCAAAGTTTTGCCTGTGGCGCAGAAATTTTGGCGAAAACAGGCTTTTTGTAGTGTTTTGGGAGAGCTCGGAAAATCAATTTGTCAACCTAAAAAAAAGTTCGACAAAATTTTCCAAAATTTTTTTAAAATCCGCCCCCTCGATAAATCCTAGATCATCCCCTGTTTAAGAATTGGTCATTTTAAATCTTATTTCGGATCTCTAAAAAATCTATTCCAGATCTGAAATTTTTTGTTTCATGGTTTTTTGTGATCTGAATATATCACAGTTTCTCACAATATTTTTGCTATTTGAAATAGTTCTGTACCTTATAAGCTATTGCTAGCTATAATCATGTATTTTCTCTTGTCTCTCATCGGCGACTGCTAAAAAACCTTAAATGTTTCATTACGAGGCTAAACTGTGCACTGGATAGGCGCACAATTTTGTGTCTGCTTGTTCCTGGATTCCAAAGACAAGTCTTTGAACATGTCAAATTTGTGTGGGAATGATCAAAGAAAATGAAAGAACAAAACAAGAACAGAGTGCATCCTTGTTGCGGAATCCCCTTACATTTCCCAAAAAGCACAGTTTGGCCTCGTAATGTTGGATAAAAATTCCGAACTTTTTGAAAATAATTATTCGATATACAATTGAATGTTGCAAACACTGCAAAATTGCCAATTTAGTTGTTTGCTTGAAATGCATATACTGTATTTTAACAAGAGATTTCTCAGACTTTATTACAGATATAAATTTTTTATTATCATGCACATTTCAGATCTGAAAAACTAATATCTTATCAAAGACTGAAACAACGAATTTCAGACCTGAAAATTAACCAAAGTCAGAAAAAAACTTCGGATCTTGTGATCCAATATAAAAGATCAATTATGTACGGTAAGATAAAGAAGCAAAAATCTATAAACTGACTCAAATTGACTTAAATTTGATTTAATTTGAAACAAATATATATTTCAAAAAATAGATTTCCATCGATTCTCAATCGATTTACGCCCATTTTGTGGCGCTTTTGATTTTTTTTTATTTGGACTTTCTTCAAAAAAATGATTTAGTTGTATTCAATCCATTTCTTTTTTGATCATTTTATACAATTTGTATACAGGTTATAATCTCCTCTTCTCGACTATCAAACAAAAAAGAAAATTGTGAGAAAAGTTTGAAGGTATGCTTTTCAGTGAACTTTTTGAGAGGACGTTTGAACTGAAAAAAAAAAACAATTTTTACGCACAAAAACTGAACTGTTTCATATTGAGCTTTTCAATTATGAGTCGTTCAGTCAAAACAGGCCTGAAACTTTTATAATGAGAAACAAATTTGAAATTGCTTTGCTTAATCTTATTTTCTATTAATGCGGGAACCCTGAGATTTGTTCAATTCAAAGGGGATTCCCTTGAATTCAATAGTTTGTGGTGAAAAACTTTGCCCGGGTGACGCTTGCTTTCTGAAGTTTGCTCTGATGGAGCTTTTTCTTGAAAACAAATGTTGCTCCAGTTCTGAAAAAAATAATCAAGTCTAGCAAACTTTTTGGGATTTTAATGCATTTCACAGCCTTGCAAAAATAAATTTCTTGAGCAAGGAAAATAACTTTTTTCCTACCGCAAAAATCTATTTTAATCCATTCTAAAACGTTATACATATTTAAATGGGCTACCGTAAATCAATTTTTATACAGATTGAATACAGATTGAATATCGATTTAAATGGATTTCAATCTCAATTTTGTCAGTGTGGGTATGCATCAATTTTGTGGTGAAACGCGGGTTTTAAATGGTAAATCATGAAGACTAAGTATGTTTACTAGCGCCTAATTAATCTGCATGCCAATTTTCATACCAATTAAAAATTGTGAAAATACTTTTTTTTGTAAAAACTTGCGAGTGGGGGCAAACAAAAAAAAACGAAAAAAAAAAACGAAAAAAAAACGAAAAGAAAAAAACAGAAAAGGACCAGAGATACTTGTTTGATGTCAAAATAAGTAACTAAGTAGAGCCTTATCTTTAAACATGGGTATCATTTTTCAACTTGAGTATCGACCAAAAGGGTCGACGTTTATCATCTCTCGTCTCGATCCTGCGGGTCACACAAGGTGTCTTTCAACTTTGGTTGACTTTGGTCGACTTGGATTGAATTGAGGGCTTGGCTTCTTCCACCCACCCCAAATGAACACTTTTTTATACAAACTTGGCTCATCTACCGTTTTTCACTGCACCCCACCCCCCCCCCCCCCACCCCTCCCCTTACTGCAACTTTGTTCATTCTTAATTTTTTATACTGTTGCCTAATTGTTACAAGAGTATTGAGACTTTTTCTTATAAGAGGAATATTGAGGTTAGAATAAATATTTCATACGGCATTTTACGAGAAACGCAGTTTTCTTAGATTCTTGCTTACTTGTCTTTAATGACCTATTTTTTCATCAATGTAAGCGCACAGAAATCTAAAACTACTTAATTCGACTAAATCATTAATTCGACTAAATCAAGTTTTTCATTTTTTGTTTCTACTTTTGAATTTTTACAGAATTTAATTTTAATTTTTCAGAAGAACCTTGTTTTTGTTAAGATTCAGAGTTAGAGCAACTAGGATTAAGAGCTGGGGTTAGAGACTGGGATAGAATCTGATGTTTGTGAATATAAATGACATGAAAAACTAAGCATCACAAAAATACCAGTTAATTAATAACAGACTAATTAAATAGTTTGAGATCAGTAGCTGACTTTGTCTGAGTTTAACCAGTGTTGATTATGATTCAATTATTCTGTCTGACCTTGAGATGTTCTGGCCTCAACACTCCCCACTCAGGCTGAATTGGCTTTGTCCAATTTAAGGCTGCAACCCATCAAGGTTCGACGATGTTGTTCCACCTTAGCCTTGTTCAGGGCTTTTGTTAACAAGTCAGCTTCCATGAACTCAGTAGGGCAGTATTGGAGTTCAACTGTCTCATCTTCCACTCATTCTCGAACAAAGTGGTGTTTCCTATCGATGTGTTTCGTTCGCTTCTGCATCACAGGATTCTTGCACATCTTGATACAGCTCTGGTTCAGCTCCTTGATGACAGTTGGTCCGTCAATAACTACGCCCATCTCATCGAGAAGTGATCGCAGATATAGAGCCTCTTGAACCACTGCAGCCATTGCTTGATACTCAGCCTCACTGGTAGATATGGCTGCAGTTGGTTGCTTCTTGTTGCTCCAACTAATTGCTGCCCCTACCTTCCGCAAATGAAAGCTGTAGCCAGTAGTTGACCTTCTATCATCCAAATCACCAGCCGTCAATAACTACGCCCATCTCATCGAGAAGTTATCGCAGATATAGAGCCTCTTGAACCACTGCAGCCATTGCTTGATACTCAGCCTCACTGGTAGATATGGCTGCAGTTGGTTGCTTCTTGGTGCTCCAACTAATTGCTGCCCCTACCTTCCGCAAATGAAAGCTGTAGCCAGTAGTTGACCTTCTATCATCCAAATCACCAGCTCAGTCAGCATCTGCGGATCCATAGAGTGTTACACCACCAGCTTCCTTAGTGTAGCACAGCTCCAGATCTTTGCTCCCCTTCAGGTAACGAAAAACCCCCTTTGCATCCACCCAGTGCACCCTTCCCGGATTCTCCAGGAAACGAGAGCGTTGCGTCACAGTAGCTAGGATATCAGGCCTTGTTTGCTTAGCTATGTACAATGATGAGCCCACAATACCTCTGTAAAAGTCCTCAGCCTTCATGGATACTGCCTCTGCTGACCCAGCTTCAGGGCAGTCCTTCTTCGACAGTTGTGCGCTGATGTCCGCTAGTTTGTCCTATGGTTTGCAATCAGCAAGGCCAAAATGCTCCAAGCAGTCTTCGATGTAACGAGACTGATTTACTGTTACCGTCCCAGGTGACCGCTTGACCTGCATTCCCAGGCGCCAGGACAATGCGCCTCTGTCATCCATCTTGAATCGTACGGAGAAACGGCTCCTCAGCTTGTCAACTTCGTCTTGATATCTGCACCCAATGATGATGTCATTTACCCAAACCAGCACATAAATCATTGCATCGTTTGTTCCCCTCATCATGAACAAACAGAAGTCGTTGCTGCTTCTAGTGAATCCTTCATCAAGTAGGAAAGTACTCAGCGTCTGATACCAGTCTCTTCCTGCCTGTCGCTGCTGAAGCCCTCTGGCTGCTCCATGTACACTGGTCTGCTTGAGGAGAGTTGAGAAAGGCTGACTTAACAACCATCTGATGAAGTACAAGATCATCTTGTGCCCCCAGAGCCAGCAGTATCCTCTTTGTTTCGGGTTTACTGGTTGGAGCGAACGTCTCATTGAAGTCAAGTCCTTCCACTTGCATGAAACTTTTCACTACATGTCGGGCTTTGAGCCGCTCCACTTGTCCCATCGCATCTCTATTTACAGCAAGAACCCATCGTCCAGAGATAACGTTTCGAGATTGTGTCCATCTGAAGTCATCTGGAATGAAGTTTTCATTGAATGTCACGCTTCTTGCTCGCACCACTCGTCTTGTCTCTAGATCTATCAGCAGGTAGGCTTTGCTCTCCTCGTCGTACCTGATGAACTTGCTTTTCTTACCCTTTGGATCCAGTTTCCGTCTGTTGCCTCGATCCAGATAGTTCGCCAGGCAACCGAAGACACGCAAGTTCGAGATTGTGGTCTATCAACAAGTGTCCGTGTTCCCATGGTTTCTGAAGACTTTGCCTCTAAAACCATTATATCCAGCCACTGCTCCTTTTCGGGTCCAGACACTTCTTCTGAATAGCCTCTTGGCTCTTGAATTTCAGTCACTGAAGCATTGTCATAGGCCAGTCCGTATCGAATGGGTGGGTTCCTTATCCTAACGGACCTCTGCACTCGATGATCAGTAGAATGTGAATCTACTGCTTCTTCCTCGGCCTGATTTTTCTCAGTAGCCCCCACTGAATCTGCAGTATCACCCTCAGTTGGCGGGCTTCGTGCTTCGCTGGTTTTCGTCGTGCTTGGTTGCTCAATATCAATGCACCCCTCGATTGATAGCTCTAGGGTTTGTAATGGCTCACTGTCAACCATGAAGTCATGTGGAATGATGTTCTCATTGAATGTCACGCTTCCTGCTCGCACCACTCGTATTGTCTCTAGATCTATCAGCAGTTAGGCTTTGCTCTCTTCGTCGTATCCGATGAACTTGCTTTTCTTGCCCTTTCGATCCAGTTTCCGTCTGTCTCCTCGATCCAGATCGTACGCCAGGCAACCGAACACACGCAAATAGCTCACTTTTCATGGTTGCCCATAGTGCATCTCTCTCGGTGAAAGGCGCTTCTCGTTGCTGGATGTGGGACACAAGTTGCGAACCCTCACAGCTGTCGACATTGATCGCACCCAGAACATCTTCGGTAGCTTTGCCTCGGGCAGCAGACATCGAGTCATCTCGATGATCACACTGTTGTAGCGCTCTGCTAGACCATTCTGTTGGGGAGTATTAGGCACAGTGAATCCTTACTTTACCTGGAATTCTCAAGTAAATCTCCTAAAGGCATTTGACGAATACTCACCTCCATTGTCAGTTCGCAGGCACTTCGGTGCTCCATGCTCAGCCACAAACTCCTGGAACTTCAGTAGAGTATCACTCTTCTTCGCCAGATACTTGACCACAACCAGCCGACTGAAGTCGTCGATGAAGCTCAAGGCATAGCGTGCACCATGCATACTCGGTACTTCAAATGGTCCCTGAATGTCACTGAAGACCCGTTGCCCCACTGCCGATGCTCTGCTGCCAGTCTTCTTAGGCACTGCGACTTCAAGCATCTTAGAAGCTGTACACACTTCACAGAACTCTAGCTCGCCCACATTGACAAGCGATGAAAGATCCTGCCGGTTGAGGTGCCCCAGTCGTCGGTGCCACAACATTGCATCACTGGTATCCCTCCTTGTTTTCGTCACTAGAGTCATCGGTTTTCTCTTGAACTTGCACACAAGGGAGAAAAGCTTGATACGCTGCTTCACAGGTAGTTTTCACCCATCTGGTGCCAGTAGATGTGACGCATCTGCCGCAAAACTGAAGCTTGAGTCTCTAGCCACAGCTGAGCTCACACTCATCAAGTTCACACTGTAGCTCGGCACAAAAAGCACATTATGAAAAGTTTAGTTCCTCGCAGCATCATGGCAGTCCCTGATCTCCACTTCCACTGATCTTTTGCCCTCAACCCTTGACAGCGTGCCGTTGGGGTTCTTCACAGTTGTCCCTTCGTTCCAGCTCTCAAAGCTAGAAAAGACAGCCCTGTCGCGCACCACATGAGCAGTGCATCCCGTAACTACAATGAGGCCGTCTCCCTTCATTGAAGTTACAGCACAACAACTGAAGAAACCTGTCCTCCCCTGCTAGCACTATTTGTAAAAAGTCCAGGTTGCCCATACTTGAAGCACCCTTGCTTCTTTGCTCCTGGCCCACTTGCTTCGTTTGATCCATTGCCTCGAGCACTGGATTGTCCGCTGTCACTTTTGGATTTGCAGTCCCTCGCCATATGACCCTTTTGACCGCACACATAGCAGCCACTACTTGACACTCCTTTCTTCTTCCTCACAGCTTGCATGGCTATATGACCATGTCCAGTCCTCTCTCCACATCGAGCCTTCCTCGTGTCATCGTTGTTCCTCAACCTCGTTCTCAGCTCTGGAAACGTCTTGGCTGGTTGAAAGCTCTCTTGCACCACAATGTCAGGCAGCCCATTGATCACCAAAGCCTTGAACAGTGTGTCCGTGATTGCTTCTCCAGCTTCATTCAACCGCGTCATCAGCTCTTGACTGCAAACAAATAGTCGTCCAGATCCTCCTCTGATCCTAGGTGCAGCTTTGCAAGCTGACATACTAGACTGACCACCGTCGGTTTTTCCACACTGCAAAACTTTTTTTGAAGCAGCTTCCAAGCCTTCGTCCCATCGCTATAGCCATCTGTTCCCACGCAGTCGTTCTCTCTGTACATCAAAGTGGTGTTGTTAATCACCAGAGCCCGGTGATACCACACAATGTTTCGATTGTCCTTCCTCTGCTGCATCATCACTGCTCGCTCCTGCATCTTGGTATCGTAGGCTGCCTGCTGTTCAGCATTTGGACCCTCGGGGAGAGTAGGCTCAGCATCTGGCAGATCATCAATGCCCTTCACTGTCCTGAACAGGCCCTTGGTGTGCATCAGCGCCACAAACTTCGTCGACCAAGCAGGAAAATCTTCAGACTTTTCACTAAAAGCCACCAGTTTTAAGTCCATCGTTGCTTCAGGCTGCTAGCTAAAAGCTAAAAACTCTGGCAGAAAAATAATACAAAAAAAAATTAGAAATCTGGGTCCATAACTTGATAAGATTCAGAGTTAGAGCAACTAGGATTAAGAGCTGGGGTCAGAGACTGAGATCTGAGGTTTGAACTGAGGATTAAGAAGAGGTAGTGATTGTTGAAGAATGAATTGAAAAAGTGAATATAAATGACATGAGAAACTAAGCATCACAAAAGTATCAGTTTACTAATTACCGACTTATTAATTAGTTTGAGATCACTAGTTGACCCTGCTGAGTTTAGTCAGTTTTGATTTTGATTCAATTAATGTCTGACCTTGAGCTGGTCTGACCCCAACAGTTTTTGTTTTGTTCAAGTTCAACCCTAATCGATTATCATCTAGCCAATTGGTGACACCCGTCCGCTTTTTTTTATGACTACTCTGTATTGTTTTTTTCTACACGTCATACTGTACTGCTGTCTCATCAGCGTACAAATTAATTTTCACTGGTCTTTGTTACAATTAAAATCAAAAGAGAAAACAAAAAAAGAAGAATACTTTTCAAAGATCCGTGTAGTACAACCAATTTGTTTAATTAAAAGCTAGATTTTTTTATTTACAAAAAATAATGAGATCTATAAATTTCATACACCGGTCACCGTAGCTCATATGAAAAACGTTTTTCAACAAAAATTGTAGTTTACAGTATCAAAAGCTTTGCGCAAGTCCAAGAATGTACATTCTGTTTTATTCGACGGAAAATCCCACTAGTAACGAATCTCTTCATTTGATTTCTTCATCGAATGTTCAAAATTTGCTTCGGAACCCATATTGCACGTTATTATGAATTTAATTTTTGTTAAACTTATTGTAATATAAACTCCTATAATAATTTTTGCTATTGCTGGCAGTAATGATATCAGTCGATACTTTGTTGGATTGCGTTTTTGCCATCTTTGTAGATGGGTAAAAGTTTTGCTAACTTTAGGCATTCTGTATGCGCAACAAAGTTTTTGTGTTTAATTGACTAAAACTGGAAAAACCGTTTTGATTATTATTTTCACAAAGAAGCTGTTGAGATTATAGCAATGTATGCTATATTTTTTCGTTTTTACCTAAAAAAACTCCATGTTGCGAGATAAAATGGGCACCAAAAACTTTGAATAGAATTGTTTTTAATAACTTCAGCTGAAGCAGAATTACTGGAATCATTAGCGCTCTCAACATACTTTCTGGTTTTATTATTGGTAACATTTTACTTTTATCCTGTTTGCACTTTTGCACTATGGAACTGTTTCTTGAGACTGTGGTATAGATGTCTTCACATATGTCAAATGCTGCAAAGATTCCATGTGTATCACACAATCAATCACTGAGTCTCGAATTTGCATCGCTATCATTACACTTTTTATAAATGCAAAAAAAAACCAGTTGACCAAGCGGTTTGAAACAAAGGCTTGCTAGACATAAAGTCGACAGGTTTCACGTAGGTTCGAGCCCCCCGCCTACCCATGTTATACCATACTAAAGTTATACCAAATTTTAACCTTTTGCCTCTGTAACTGGGCTAGACTTGATTACGTCTAACCTCTAAAAAAGAGCAATATGCCTCAAACACAAATACTAGCGTATTGAAAGCTTGCTTTTAGTTTTAAGCTATAAAACGTTTTTGCTGTGAACAATTAAAAGTGCTCCAAATTGTTCTTTAAACAGAGTTATTTGCCGAGAAATAATTGTTGATAATTCAAGTGTTTCATTGTATTATTTTGGGTTTTTTTTGTGATAGGAGCGAGCATATTTTTAGCGCCCAACAAGACACTCGATTAACAAAGAAGTGGGAGAAGTTCTTCTCTGATGCAACTCGATTCCGAAGCTAAGCTCCAATTCCTTGGACGACTATCATTTCTTGAAGAGACGAGTTCAATCAGCATTGTACACTATACGGTATATACGGTTTCATACGTATAAAAACTATACGGTTTTTGAGCATCTGCAATCTTTACCTTCCTTGTGGTTGCCGGAATCTGATCAATGTTTTTGAACTCACAGTTCATCGTTGCCATCTGAGAATTACAAACGCAAAACTCATGACATTTGTAAAACTGGCTGACCGAATCGCTCGAACCCGAAGTTGAAAACACTCTGGATGCAAATATCCACGAAACTTAGAATCAAGTATCCGTGACAATTATCCTTTAAAATGATCATTTCTATTCTTTTGGAATTCCAGTATCCGGGTTCTTTCCCGACACAGGCGCAAAGTCCAGAGCTGTTTTTCCAGAGACAGCGTGGGTCCAGTTGTCAGAGGCAGTGACCCAGTTGACAAAAGCATTTGCCCGAAACTCGTCAAAGCAGATGGTGTGCAAATGGCCAAAAGTGTGAGTTTTGCACAAGAACTTTTAAGGCGACAGAAAAAAGAGCAGACGCAAAGAGGCGTTTCTAGGTATCCTGAGTGGATTTTTGGTCGACGTGGAGCTGACTTTTTTCTCAAAACCCTAACTCGACACCCAAGCTGAGCTTTTTCTCGACACCCAAAACCCGAAAAATTTCCATTGCAATTGTTTTTGATAACTTCATCTCAAGCAGAATCACTGGAATCAGTGACTGTCTCCCCGGGTTGACAAAAAAAGGTTGTCATACACTTTTCATTTATGAAAAAAATGCTTAGTATACTCTTTCATACAATTTCATAGAGTAAAAGAGTAAAAGTATATGTATGAAAATAGCCAAATAAGCATTTTGTCATAAATGAAATTGTATAATAAGCATTTTTCTATACTATGAAATTGTATGACAAGCATTTTTCCATAAATGAATATTCAAAAAAAATTTTATTTCGAAATTTCGTGTTTCAACCGAAACACTAACCAATGATTTTTTGTCATGAGAAAACCAAGAGAGTAACTTGCAGTTACCCCGCAGATAAACTGCATTTGGTGGTTTTAGCCATAAAAGTTAATATTAGCATTTTCACATAGAAATAGATACCAAAAAAGATACCTTTTTGAATATGGCTAGATAATTTTTAGCTTGAAAATAATGATGATTGAGAAAAAAAGCCTGTTTTTTTTTTACAAATTTATTCTTATTTTTATGTAATTTTTGGGTTTTTTGGGTGAGAAACTTATCCTGGACTCTGTTATTAACACAAAATTGTCAATTTTTGCATGCAATTTTTTTTTTTCGTAAAAGTTATATTTTAGCACAAAAGCAAATTTGCAGCAAAAAAAGGGATTAAAATTTTTTACCTCAAATTTTTTTTTGTTTGTGAAAAAAATGCATATCATACACTTTTCATTTTTTATGATAAGCCTTTTTTCCATGGATTTAATATATAAAACTGTATGATTCCGGTTCAGCATAGTTTCTGGTTTTATTTTTGCCGACATTTTCACTTTTCTTCTGTTTGCACTATTGCACATAAAGTATTTGTTTAAGAAGATTGGGCATAGCTACTAATTTAGAGAGATTCTTGCAACGCTTTCTTTCTATTCAACCCAAAAACTTAGATATGGGACAGTAGTTTTCGAGACAAGTAAAAAAGTTTCAAAAAACTGTCCAACAAAAAGAAAAGACTTTTCTGAGGACATTTAATTTTTGTGTAAATAATTTGAGCGTTGCTGCTAAGGCTGGGAATTTTCCTACAACATTTTTTTCGATTGCACCAAAAAACCAAGTTTTGGGA